TGCTTCCTTAGCTATGTCTTTTCTTTTTGCCCATTATCCTTCTCCTTCTCACCATCTTCTCCCATCTCTTTTTCCTGCTCCTTTTGCACATTTCTTCCCCTTTTCTTTCACCTTCTTCACCTGTTGTTTTGTTTTCTTCAGTGATTTTCTCCCGACTGTCACTGCCTTTGTTATCGGTCTTCAGGAGTTTGCATTTCCGCGGTGGACATATCCTACTACCTGCAGGACTGGATCCCTCAACCTTATCCTGATCCATCTCTTCATCTTCTGCAGTCTCCTCAACCTGCTCTTCATGTCTTTTTCTCTTCCCTGATGGTGTAGGAGCTGGAGAGATGGCACGAGTGCTTTCTAATTCATCAGCTCTGGTTATGAAACTCCAGAGTCCCACTGATCTTCTGCAGACTTTGCACCTGTTAATATATTGCAAGAAACTCTTAATTGTACCTTGCCTAAAAGCAAGCTGAGTGATGATAACTATGAAATTACTTTTTTGAACACAAAATTAAAGATTTGTTACTAAACATGTAGGGTCACTTACATTTATGAAATGTATTAATTACTACCACAATAACGGGCAGAAATAGATAAAGTTATCAATTCTAGACCTAGAGATATTTCTACATTTTGAAATTATGTTTTGAGTCAGCAGAACTATATCACTGCTGCTCAGTTCTGCTCAAAGAATGCCTTTCCACAAACCTTAAATATGCTCCTTCACCACGAATCCATCCACTCAATACCAATAGCACAGAGGAAGCCTGGACTTCATAATCAGTGCTATCATTTTGGAACAATCCCACAATAAGGTCTTTATCTGCTCCCTGAAATGTTGATTACAATAAGCACAACACTTATTTTTTTTTATATAAATATAGTGTATAAGTATTCAATATAAAGATTACTTTTAGGCTAAACATAGATTTATCTGTATGAAGTTTTGTAAATATCCAATACTTTGATTACTAAAAACTAGTGTCTTACATCATGAGAAGATGCAGATAAAATTCAGTACAAGCTAATATTTCATCACTTTAGGTACTTACAAGACTTTTTGATAAAGCTTCAACATCAAGGTATGTAGAGCTGAATTTAGGCAGCAAGTGTCCGAGCAGAATTTGTGAGATTGCGCATGTCTTCAATAGAGCCAATATAAGGTGGCTGGACAAACTCCTCAGGACTTGGATTATGTTTCCAACCACAGGCATCTTTGTGGGCTTCCAATATCCTGCTCTTCAACAGACTAAGGTACTTTTCATCTGTAAAGCAATTTCATACTTTGAGATTGTACTGTTTACTGCTTCATCATTTTTTATCTTTCCTTATGTATAATGTACCTACTTAATGGTTATAGAAAATTATCAGAACTTGATGCTGTAATTTTTCATTGATTTTGGGTAATTATTGGATATCACCTAGTTATAAACACACTACCTCTTGTATTTCATAGTTTCCTATTATACATTATAAACAGCAGTCAGCCCTAAGCCTACCCCTGGACAAGCATTACCTTGTGCAAAAAAATATAATAAAAGCAATAAATCACTCTCTAACTCACTAGAATACCAGTCACAAACAAACAAAAGTGGAAACTGTAAAACAAACAAATCTTCCACACTCACAAGCTTTGAAATCCCGTACATCAGGTAGAATTGCACAAACAACCTCACGGCAGGTGACGCACTGGAGAATATCCTTCTCCTGGATACGCCAGCCCCATCTTCCACACTCAGAGTCAGCTCTTGCACAGTCCATAACCTGGTCTGAAGGAACTGACTCGATTATAAAATTCCTCGGGTTCTGTGGTTGTGTTTTGACTGCTTGGGCATTCTGCTTGTTCAATTTTTCAATGTCAATTAGTCTGAAATATAAGATTAAATAAATTATCATTATACAATTGGTATGGAAGTGCACTGTGTATGTAAATGAACAAGTACAGTTTTAATGTATGAACATTCTACTAGTAATATGCAGATTTGTTTGAAGTTCATCCTATATCAACAGAAAATATATGAGAAATTGGAGAGTAAAAGCAAGAAAATAGCATATAACACAGTAGTTATAAATCCGGAAACTCTGGGCTACCTAATAGTGCAAAACAAGTATAAAGTGGTATCTAAACGATAGGACAAACCCTGGGTCGCTTACTAATAATAAAGTATATGATTTGAATGCCTGACTCTAAACCATTATCAGGTTGGACTTAAGACTGTTGACTATCTGTTATAAATCTCTGTATTTTCAAGTAGATCTGGATCAGAAATGGCCATTATAATTATGAAGGAAGAGAAATTTGACCCCAAATTAAGTGCAGCAAGAGATGTTACTGCATCAGATAACAGGCAATTATCAAAAAGAACATGGAAAATATTGTAACATTCATAAATAACATGATAAGGGGAGGGGAGAAGTTTCAACACTATTTTTTCAGAATTGGTCAGCTATACAGCGAAAGGTAAAAGATCAGTGAATGAAAAGATTAGTGAATTTTAAATCAGTTTTCTTCCACGATACTTTGCTGAATAAAAAAACAAACAAAAACAACATTAAATAATAGTTTATATAAATAGCAATTACAGGGCTTATTAAATTTCAACATGCCAACCATGAATCACTATCTATTGCACATTTTGTTCTATGTACATGCTTTTAGATTTTGAAATCTACAAGCAGTGACTCTTTCTTGCAGTAATTTTGTCCTTATGAATCATATAGCTCTGGGCAATTTTATTATCAAATGGTATTGGATATTTGTTAGTCCTTGGCTAGAGTGCTGACAGATGCTTGATACTGCCACTAGTATGGTATCTAGTATAAAAAAAAAAAAAAACTTTTAAAACTTCAATTGTAACATAGATGTCATAAATGAGTGTGGGAAAGCCTCTTTAAAAAATCTGAACCAACCTAGACAATTAAAAAATAGATCTGCACCTTGAAAGGCAGCAAATTTGTTATCACTGAACTCCTATTAATGTTTACTGATCAAGAAATATTTGTCTCACAGAACCACTGCATCAGAGGTCATGATAACTGAATGGTAAATGGGTGTTTCACGTAAATAATGGACCACATCTGCTTGAGGGACCAAATATAGAAGCAAGGAACTGTATAACATCTTCACCCTCTGTGATTCTGGCTAAAATACAATTTTAAGCCTACTTTTGACAATCTGTAACTCCTGCACTCATTGAAAAAGTAAAACAAGTGAACATTTGTTAAGCACACACAACTCGGAACAGGGTTGATGTGTGTGGTATAGAAGTACATGCCAAATGGAAATGAGTCCCTTCAAGCCATGACTATGAGTCCAATGGGTGAGTCATGAGCTTTTATGCTGTCAATCAATTATGAATTGACAGTGTCATGATATGCACCTGCTGTTGAGTAAACAAGATGTGGCTGTAGGGTCTGGAAAATGTGTGACATGTGCAGGTAAGGGGACATGACTGTTACAATATCCACGTGGCAAGTAACTCAGACCTTCCCAGGATCTATTTTGCTAAGTGAAGTGTTAGGGATGAGAGCCACATGAAAATGACTACGAGCACAAATACTGCATATTTGACCGAGCTATTTCCCTGGGAAACCAATGCCCTCCTTACCTTATCATTGCTACCGTTGCTTAGCACCACCTAAACAACTCCTAACGAACATCAGACCTTGTAAAGAATTTATACCAAATTCTATGGATTATATGTTATAGATCTCTTACAGAAATTAACAAAGCTTCACTTTATATTAAGATCTTTTTAGTAGCAATCCTGGAAACATCTTTTTCTCTTATCTAAAGCGGAAACAAAGGGATACACTCTAGCCAGCAAGTACAGTGCAAACATTCAAAATAAATTTCATGAAAACTGCAGTTAGTGATTAATGTTTTCATTAATTACAAATAGTTTGGTAGTTTCTTAACATGAAATTGAAATATAAATATAAGTAAAATGTTTTTCTTTGACGTGACAATGAGTAGAGCAGAAAAGCCCCCAATTGGTATTCTATTCATGTATGGGGAAACAAACAAGGTGGAGGCGTTCTTGACACGAAATGATACTACTCAATTAGGTTGGGTTACGTTTCTACTTATTACCTGGAAATAACACTGATATGCCATAAGCATCTGTGATGTATGCCTAACTGTGAGAAATCTGATACAGCACTGACTTTTTTTTCTAATACAGCATATACACACTCACAATATATGCGCAAAATTTAAAGTAAAAAATAAACAACTCTAAACTGACACAATACGACTTTTTAATGAGTCTGAGTCATTTGATGTGGTGTTGTCTATAGAGGAATGATTATCTTCAAAATTATTCCTTATGCTATAATTCAACCTTATAAACTGATATTATTCAGAATTCCTCATCCTGCTCGTCCAGACAAGTTGAACAAGATGTTTTGACTGTTCTGAACCTTTAGTTTCTCTTCCTGGATAAGTTGTCCATCTCGTCTTCCTGTGAAGCTGGGCAAGCAGGATGAGATGATGTCACAATAGCATTTGTATGTAAACATGACAGTTGTAAGCTACTGATGGGTAATTTCATGGCCCTTTATTAATGTTATCATCAATAATGTAGAAAAACAAAGAATCCTCCAAATATTCACGACAGGAGAGAGAGTCGAACAGACTTGGCAACACCCACTCCCGCATGGCAGCCGTATGCTTGTGCCTGCCATGAATACATGAAGGATTCTTTGTTTCTTAGGTGGGGGCAGAGGGGTAGAAATCCCCCCATGGGGGGATTGCAGGGAGCTGTGCCCCCTGCACTAGACAATATAGTGACTCATTCTGCTTAGATGACTTACATTTTACAATTTCCCTGGTACATTTCATGCCTTCCCCTGCTATCGCAGCTAAGAATGTGGAGTTGGGGGGGGGGGGGCTTCCGCACAATAAAATCTATATATTTGCATTGTAGACGGTGAGAGGAATCCAATGATACCGAAAATGTTGCAATCTGTTTGGCAGACATTTTCCAGAAAACTACCCAGACAAGTTGTCTGGATGCCAAGTGGAGTTGGGGGAGGGGGGCTTCCGCACAATAAAATCTATATATTTGCATTGTAGACGGTGAGAGGAATCCAATAATACCGAAAATGTTGCAATCTGTTTGGCAGACATTTTCAGAAAACTACCCACACAAGTTGTCTGGATGCCAAGACTAGGTGTTCGGATCACACACCATGAAATGTATGCTTATACAGGCTTGATTTGTTGAGAATTACCTGTAATGACTAAAAATTCCTATGATCACTGTAATCAATCTCGGTGTCTCACATGCCATCAAGTTGTTTGATGGTTTTCTTCTGACTTTTTTTTCAAAACTTTGTCTGTCAGAACATAATCACTTATATAACGCTCGAGTGTTGGGTTCATAATCGTCATAAACACATGACTATGAACACCTTTGCCTTGTCAAAATGTTACACATAAGTTAACATATGCATATCATTTCTCCCCCTACAGTATATTCGAAGACCATGTTGCATAAACCAGGTTCACTTAATTCCTTGTATTTAGAATCACATCAAGTTGATCTTGTTTACAGCAAGATTAGATGATCAAGATTATAAACCGAGCACGCCAAATAAGTGTCTGTCATGGTAGAGAAATTGGAGGATATAAACCGGTTTCACGTAATTTCTCATCGGAACACATAAAAGACCGTACCCTGGCGATCTAGTCACCGTATCTGTCAAGGAAGAGAAGATAGTAGAGATTTTGTTGACTTTGGCCAGCACGGCGTCTCCTTCCTCCTCATTGTTTACATCCTGACTTATGAGGGTCACGTGACCTGGTAGCGTATTTCGATCTCAACTTTTTATTCTTTAGAAAAATTAATTACCATAATCTATAATCTTACTATATTTTCCAAAATAGCGCGGAAAAAGAGGCGGGCTCATCTGCACTGGGAAAAATATTCTGTTAATTCAGGAGAAACGCTTTTGGAGAAGGGGCTCCTGGATGTTGGTTCGCGAGAGTCCAGGCAGAGTGTTATTGGAACGTGTCTGTTGTGTGGTGGCGGCGGAGGCACTGGAGGGCTGGTCTGGTATCTGCTGTCCTCACAGCAAGGTATGGACCAGAAAAAGAGTCCAAGCAGGTAAGTACCCCGAAGGGCGTGGTTCTGAAGTCAGGAGTGCACGCTTGAGCTGAGCGAAGAGCAACTTGGACGTCCGGAAAGGGAGGATATCAGAGGATAACTGATTGCATTTGTGACGTGTTGTGACAAAGGGGATTGACCCAAGATTGGCACTTGCAACCCTCTTTTGCCAAGATAATTGACACTCTTGGCCCATCCCTGCACGTGAGCTTGCACCGGGCACCACCTGCGAGTGGTAACCATCTGGCGAGGCGTCACCATCTGCCTCTCCTCCCCTGTCATGGCTGGGAAGCGTTTCGCCAACTTGAATTTCAATTAAGTTGATTGAGTCTGAAGTGAAGCTCTATTACCTCGATCGTGGCGTATATTTCAGATCTATTTCGAGCCACCGTCGCTAGTCTTTAGGGTGACAAGGTGACCCTTCTGTGGTGGGTGGCAGGGAGGGGATTCAGAAGGGAGGACTTTGGGTTTTGGTGTGGTGAGGGTAGGACTTGGGCTGGGTTAGATGACTCTCTTTGGGGTCTTGGAGGCTTGGCTGTTCTTGACACAATAGCTGCTGGGTGGCTTTGGTTGGGGTTTGGAACGGGTATTTCTTATCTGATTAATTATGAGGAATTCCTTTGTTTGAGGACTTCAGAAAAATCCTGAGGTAGATTTTTTCTAGGTGGTTTTGTGCTGATTGGTGTGCATTCCATGTGTGAAAGTGGTGCCATTTGCAAGCATATTATCCTTTCAAGCATGAACCATTTCTTGGTTATAGTAAACAAATTGTAAAAACTGGCACAAGGTGATATGGGTGAATGGTTAAAAGACACCCACAGTGACTGTCAGAGTGGGACTTTTTCATGTAATATTATTCCTAGTGTATCCAGATTTACTTGATAAATGATGGAAAGCTTATAATCATGGTTTCATTGTGATAGTGACACACTGTCAAGTGACCACCACTCTGCTCCAACAAAGACGAACAAACCTCAACCTCATATATTCTGGTAAGATAGAGCTTAGACTGGTTCCTTATTCTTCAATGAATACAAATAAAGTGCAGCTTTGCCAGATTGAATACAGTAGTTTTTGGAGGCTGTTGTGCTAGTGCATAGGCCAGTGGGAAGTGCATTGGTGTCTTCTAAATATTTTACCATTTTATTTTGCAATAACAGTGAAAGGGCACAAGGGTGTAATTGACATTTTTGAAACGTAATACAGTAGAGCAATTTTTAGTGAATTTTAGATAATTACTAGTGTCTGTGGGGAAAAAAATTATATTTGATTTTTTTATGGTGGAAGGGAAAACTATTTTACTTCTTATAGCATATTTAGTTTTTATAACTATGAGATGTGGTTTGCTTAAAATGCCAAACTTTTCTGTTTAAATACATTTGATAAAGTTAGGAGGTAT